TTTGTAAATTTACTGATAAATGAGGTTAAATTGGTCAATATGGAGACTTAAAGGTAATGTTTGTCTGTGTTGGGTTGTATTCAGGTTAAGGTGGAGAAGATAGTGGAGCGCGGTGATGCACGGGACGTGATTTGTCAGGCGGCGGAGAGGTTACATGTCGACATGCTCGTCATGGGAAGCCGTGGCTATGGTGTCATCAAGAGGTACGCTTTTTACTGCTTACCTCTATTTCAATTTAAACCATACATGGAAATAATTCAATTTTAAACTCTTCATTTTACCTTGATAAAGATTTTTTTTTTCTTAAACTCCGTGCCGAGTCAACCAAACGGGGAGTAGTACTTTTTTTCACTTATAGCCATTTGATATTCAAAATTCATTACCCTAAAGTTTGCATCATCCCATTGCATTCCTTGGTGATTGCTTTAGTTCTTAATATTGAATTTGAGAAAAAATGACAATCTTTAACAACAAATAAGCTAAATATGTATAGCATAATAGAAGTGTTTCGAGAATGTTATGGTCAGAACTCATAAACATTGAATTAATTAGTGTCCTAATATTAAAAAAATGTCGGTCTTTTCAGAACAAATTATAAAGAAGACTAATATAAAATGAGACATTAGGAAGTACTAATTACTTTCTCGTTTGGTAGTTAACATAATCTGTTGCAAACAGTCCTGGAAATTTATTAGTTATGCATATTGGGTGTGTTTGGTATGAGAAAAATATTTTTCAATTTTTTCATGTTTGGTTGGCTTAAATGGTTTGGAAAATATTTTGCTCGTGAACTCATTTTCTTCCAATAGGAGGAAAATGTTTTCCCTATTAAAAGAATAGAAAACATTTTCCAAAACTCTTTTTCAACTTTTTCTACCCTTTTCGTACCAAATACACCCATTATGTTAAAAAATTTAATTAAAATTTTAGTAAGATGATATCAAACAAATTGTAAAGATTTATTGCTCTATGGTCCTAAAGTTATTCAAAAGCTGCTTGGAAAGAGACTTGTTTTGTTACAAGGTTAAACAATTACGATTGGCAACCAATCTTCATTCTTATACTATTTGATTATTAAGTATGGGAATTGGTAACAGTCATAATTCAAATTATGATTATTGCTGTCCAATTTAGTCACTGAAATGCTACCAAGACTTAGCTCGCGTTTGGCCATAAAATTTGGGAATTTTTTTTAAATTTTACTTTAAAATATTTATTAATTTTTTATTTTAATCTTTTTGGAAAGATTTTGAAATAAAATGTTCAAATCCCAAAAAAAGTTCTAGAGTAATTTTTCAAGTTTTCTATTCACAAAACTTCAAACTCTTTTCAAGTGAAATGCATGTCCAAACACAATTTTAAATTTCAAAAATTATTTTCATCTCATTTTCAAAAAATTATTTTTTCAAGTTTCATCCAAATCTATGTCCAAACGCTAGCTTAGTTTCGGATAAATTTGCATCGCTTCCTAAATTTTACCAAGTGAACCATGATACTATCTGAATTATTTTTCATTACATCTAATGACAAGGAAAATAACAAACAATTTTCACAGTGAATTTAACAAAAAAAAGGTAGAAAGAAGAATACTCTCATAATATATTATGCATTTTTCTTGCTTATGTAATGGTGTCTAGGGTTTTAATGTTGATCTAAATACAGGGCATTTCTTGGGAGTGTGAGCAACCACTGTGCACAGAATGTCAAGTGTCCAGTTTTAATAGTGAAAAAGCCAAAAACCAATGGCAGCAGCAAGTAGATTTTGTACGTTATTGAATTTGCTTGTGTATGTAAATAGGCAGGTTCTGTGATTTTGTTGTAGTTTTTCTTTTTCTTGTTTACCTTTATTTATGTACTTTTGGATTCAACTTGCAGAGTGATTGTATGATTGTTTTTCAAATTTATTTGCCTTTTTGTTCGAGCAACCTTTTTTGCATGACTAATATTGGCAAGGAATGCCTTGGTTCAATTACTCCCTCCCCTCCGTTTCAATTCATGTGAATCTATTTGACTTGACACCGAATTTAAGAGAAAAAAAAAAGAGAAGTTTTGAACTTGTGATATAAAATGAGACACATATATTTATTATTGCATAATGGTAAATTATTTTCAAATATGGAAAGGGGTAAATTCTTTTTGGCATGGACTAAAATTTAAATAAGTTCACATAAATTGAAACAAAATGAATATCAAGTAAAACACAATTAGTCTAACTTAAGCCACTCTTCAAACATTTTTCTGCTACAATGTGTTCAAACGAGTTATCTCTTTCTCTTTATTTGGGTTCTTTTTTGTGGTTAGAAAATAGAGAAATTGGGTTCTTTTTATGCTACAATGGGTTCAAACGAGTTATCTCTCTCTCCGTTTCTCTCTCTCTCTTACAAGGGTTTCCACGCAAAAATTACCATTCTGTTGAAAAAACTATACAAGTTCAAAATAGACAAAAATATGAAAAGATTCATTAAAAATTTATACACAAAAAATAGTGGAAATGGATATTTCATTCAGAGGGTGCCACGTGTAAATTTCATCAAAAGAGGGGTAAATTTAGAACTTTGGCAGACGGTAGGAACAAATATGACTAAAAAGTATAATGGGAGACGAGATTAAATAATAAATAAAAGTAAAAGGGTATATCAATAAAAGGCTACATATATTAAATTAAAGTGAACATAAGTATTTCCCTTCCAGAGCGAAGCCAAACTTCCACTGTTAAAATATTATTTTTCATGGTAATGATAACAATTCTATCTTCGTAAGTGTTACAACTAAAGTCTAAAAAGTCCACATAATTTGGGATACACACAAGAGAGTTATTGCTTATCTATGAGAAGATATAAAATTTGCATGGTATCTTTAGTCAATTAGAACTCTTATTGCCTGTGATCTTCCCCAACCAAAAACCAAGTAAATAACAATAAAAATAATAATACAAAATTAATAAAAGGAGAAACTCTTCTGTTTCAGCTTAACGTCTCTATGTCCTTCTTCCTCACGGGGCATTGCTTTGGGTAAGCCAATGCTCAAACTTCTTGTTGTAGTTGTTTCCTTTTATCTCTTCTTAATTCTCCTATTCAAACCCTGCTTTTTACTAGTTTGATCTTTAAATGCATCAAAATGACTTTAATTTGTATTGGTTAATGCCTTAATGGACTCTAAAGAGTACTAGAATTTTAAAAAAGTATTTGTAGGATTAGATTATATATGTTTCGTGCTTTGCTTGAGCCGAGGGTCTATCGGAAATCACCCTTTCTACCTTTACAAGGTAGGGGTAAGGCTGAGTACACACTACCCTACTCAGACCTCACTCACTGAATTTGTTGTTGTTTGTAGGTTATATATGTTTCGTCTTTGTGAATCAAGTAAACAATTCATCAATACTAGTATCCTAATACATGCAATACAGTTATAAACTTATTTATTTAGTTGTTGAATAGTTTATAATTATCACTCAATTGTTATAAGAAGTTGAGCAATAAATTTTGTATATGTTAGGGAGTACGTTGTGCATTGATTGTCATATTGAGAGATTGAAGACATCGGAAGTACACTATGCAACGGATGAAGCTTTACTCCTGCAATGTGTTACGTCATGTTTTCTTCCTCATTCTCCTTGTAAGTACCTTTCAATAATGTATGTCTTTACTTTTTTCTTTTGGTCTCAATATTAATTACTTTAGGTTAAAAGAATTACGAATAAATAATCACAAGGGGTGTGATGGAATGATAAATGTTACTCAACCCTTAATCAGATGTATCAGTTCGAGTCCAGGTAATGAAGTTTCCTTTGGTAGGGAGCTGCTAAAGTGAGCTTTCTATGGTGCGAATCAGAATTAGTCGAGCTAGTGGATTTCAGATGATTATATAAACAACTAGGAATAGTTCTAGCAATGTAACATAGTTAGGAAGTGTTTTGAAAAGTTGGTCAAAATATATGTTTGTTGAATCTTCGAAATTGACAAGATAATATAATTTGTAGTAATATCATTTTTTCCCTTGAATTTCATTGCAGGGAGTGGCAATTTACATATTTATGAAGTTGTCTATGATGAAAAATCAGAGTGAACGCCATGTGAACATGCTATCAGAACAATTGAGAAATAAAACATTTTCACAGATTGAACACACTGCCAATATGTTTCTTCCCCTAAATTACTCAGCATCAAGTTTGGCTAGAGGTCTAAGTTCATCTCTCAATGAAACTCAGTTACCCTTCACCGAAATCCAAACTAAGGTAAATTAACAATTTCCTTTTTCCCTTTTGGTGCTTTTATATATTCCAGAGTTTGCAAGTTTGATGAGGTAGCAAGAAAGAACTTGTTCCTTGTAGTTTACAGGAATTATTTCAAGTAGTGTTCATTGTCAAGTGGAGAGAATATCAGCTCTACGTGTTAAAATGGAGTTGGTTGCAGCAAATTTACGTGTTTTATGTGAGACTACCCATTTAAAGAATAGTTAGAGCAGCTCCATCCTATGTTGCTCGGACTCTTTGAAAAATGGCGACAGGTGTGTGTTGGATCCTCCAAAAGTCGTGTATTTCTTGGAGGATCCAACAAGAGCACATCAGCATTTTTGGAGTGTCCGTGCAACATAGGCTCCACATTTGTGAGTATGTAAAACATGACCACTCCCAATGGCTAGGGGTTGAACTGAATCCCCTCAGTTAGAAAGCTATATTGACATTTTTCTAAATCCCCTTTAGAGTTCCTAATTTCGCTACTAGTTCAGGGTCTAGATTAAAAGGGATTACGCTAGGTTGATTGCCGGCAAAAAATAGTTCAACACTTATGAATCAAATGAATACTAATAGTTAGAGTACAAAAGTATAACCTGAGAACCAATTGTTGAAACTTGGCACTAGTTCAACATTTTTTCTTGCTCATTTGGACAACTTTCAGTTGACAAGAAAACTCATGTATTGTTGGTTTGTTGATGTTTAGGTAGCACCTCTTTTGTTTTTGTCACTTTCAACAATCCCATTCGTTTCACAAGTCTCATACATGGGACAAGATAGGCTGATGCTCGCTTTTTACACTGAAGAAGGCCACGACGAGGACCAAACTTTTGCAGTGTTTTCCAATACTTCATCTGCAGTATGGTATAGTCAGCCAGTGAATCGTGACACCGGGATGCTTTATGGGCAACCAGTGGTTGTTGATACAAAAACAGTTGGCGTTGAGACTCTAGGTTGGTCTAAAGAATCCTTAAAAGGAACAATGGGGTATGCATCTCAGTCCTGTATTAGCATTGGTTTGAACAAGGCTAAGAGGGAATTATTTTTCAATACAGCGACAATGGATGGAAGAGGTAAGATCTCTGTGGGATTTCCCGTGCAATATGTGGATGGCAGATTTTCCGCTTTAAATTTTTACGGTGCGGATTTTCACCTGGCTAGTAACAATGGTCAAGTAATTGTGGACACAAAGATTCCTCATACCAGCATAATCGTGTATAATGGTACTGTTTCTGTGCAATTCAAGAACTTGAATGGTTCTCGTGAAGATTTGAGTGGCAACCAATCTTGCAAGCTGGTAAATGGAGAAAGGGGACAATTTGAAGTGAAAATCAAGGAGAATAATTTCGTTTTCTACTGCTCTGTCATTGAAATAGCTGGACTTGAATCGGTATGTCTTGATCAATTACTGCATATGTCACCATTTTGAATTAGTGAAATCTCGATCTGCAGAATATCCGCTCCTAGCTACTATGCTGTATCTTGTGTTACGTGTTTTGTTCAAGATATATATATCGAGATTTGTCTAAACTGAGTCATTTTTTCTCTGTAAGGAGCGCGCATTCTAGACTATTAAGTACAATCATTGATTGATTTGATTCATTTCTGACAAGTTGACTGTTGAAATGGAAGAATACTGGAGAGATTGAAGATTAAACGAAACAATACTTCGATCAATCAAAAATTTAAATGGAATAATCAATAAATTACTATTGAAGTAGCCTAGAACAATAAAAAATGAACCTTCAAAAGACTAATTTGCTCTTGTTTTGTTTTTAGGTGTACACTGTGGCGTTCAGTGCTCAAGGAATGGGAAGTAATGTCCTTAAGCAAAGCGCGCAAGCATATTTGCTGCTTGTGTTCTTGTTTGTTATTGTAGTAGTTTCGCTATGTGCTTTCATTATCATAGTCTTCAAAGCTGCAAAAAGAGAGATGTTTTTGTGTGCTGCTCTGATCAAACAAGTGGAATCAACTAATCAAGCAGAGAGGAAGAGTATAACAAAGAGTCTCGCATTTGCTGCTGCAAGTCATGACATTCGTAATGGTTTTGGAATTATAACTTGTCTGATAAACCACTGTCTGAATGAGGCATCCCCAGATTCTGAGACTGCATCTAACCTGCAGCTCATCAATAATGAAACCACAAGCCTTTTAGGTATGTCCTATATATGCTATATTTCTATTTGTTTTTTATTTTTATTTTTCCCTCACACGAACAAATTTTATGGGTAAAAATGAAAGCCACTTATACCTCACCTAACTTAATGATGATCATTTTCAAGATATTGATGCACTTAAGCCTGTTAAATATTGATAAAGACTTGTACGAAGTATAAATCTGTATACGCCAGCAGAATTGTAGATTTGGCAATGGCAGAGCTAAAATTGACAATTTTTTGAGGAATCAAATTTTTGTAATGGTTGTGAATTAGATGTATGGACTTTGGCAAGTAATAAGGGAGAGTTCATGGATTATATACATCTTGACCTTTAACAATGAACATCGTCTTTCTCTCAAAAACGAAAGCCACTTGTCATGAAAAAACAAGTAATAATATGTGATAAAAGTAGTAATTATTAATGGTACTTGTTTGGCTTTCCTCCAAGATGATTAGTAACTAGATAAAACTACCTTAGAATTTAAATTAACTGTTGACCTTTGACTTGGCCCAAGTTCTAAATATAGAGCTTTCAATATATGGTCACCACTGGTATAATTTGTAGAACTATTTTGCTGAAATTGTTTCAGGCATACTAAATTCTGTTCTGGATGCGAGCAAGATTGAAGCTGGTAAAATGCCACTCAAGGTAGAAGAGTTCGATCTGGCAGAACTCCTTGAGAACATAGTTGATTTGCATTATCATAGAGCCATAGAAAAGGGAGTGGATTTGGTTCTTGACCCTGGTGATGGGTCTCTTTCAACCTTCCGTTCAGTGAAAGGTGACAAAGTGAAAATTATGCAGATAGTAAGTAATTTGGTTACCAATGCTATCAAATTTACCTCAGAAGGCCATATCTCCGTCAAAGTTTCTGTGAGCAAACCAAGTAAAGACAGCGCCCTTATTGTTTGTAATCGGCACAGTCCATTGAACTGCTTGACAAGATTGTGCACCAAGCAAAAGTGTTGCTGCAATACTTTGAATGAATTTCCAGCAATTCAAAAGAATCCCAATTGCATGGAATTCACATTTGAGGTGGATGACACAGGTGTGGGGATTCCTAAAGATAAACAAAAACATGTCTTTGAGAACTTTGTTCAGGTGAAAGAAACAACTTATGGAGAAGAAGGTTATGGCTTGGGACTAGGCATTGTTCAATCTATGGTGAGTATCTTACATGGCTTTTTCTTTTGGTTTCCTTCAACAATTTTATTATGGAATGAAATAACAATGCTTGGAAAAGTAGATTCTTTGAGTAAATAGATCCAAGCGGTTCTGCTGTAATCCCTTTGGTTCTGATTGTAGAGTATATGATTGAACAACACATCATCTAAAGGAGGCCATGTAAATGTCAAAAAATAAATTTAAAGCTCTAGATATGATTATGTTTACCGTTAATTTGGCGTAGATTAATCATTGGTTGTTATACGACAGGTGCATCTAATGGGGGGAGAGATCAAGATTGTTGACAAAGAGGATGGAGAAAGAGGCACTCGGTTCCAATTCAACATATTTCTGACTAGCTGTGTTCCAGTATCTGTTGTTGAAGCTGAGGAACAAGAAACCAATACGCAAAATCATGGCCTTCGAAGTTATCTTTACCATCACTTGGGACTGCCATTTCGGTCATCTCCATCTAGATCAGAGGGATATCATGTTGTCCTATTCCTAGTTGAAGAAAAAAGGAGAAAAGTTTTAAGCAGAGCGATTAGCAAAATGAACATAAAAGTTTCAGAGGTGAGTAAAATGAACGAACTTGTTCAGACGCTTGATAGAATAAAGAGAAAGTTAGACCTTTCCTCTAGTTCCCTTGAGAAATTTGAGGTAAATCTGAATTTAACCGCTGGTGATACAAATGAAGTGGCTTCAGGCACAAAGGACACACATGATCATGCCATCCCTCATTGCAAAAGGTCTAATTCCAATGGCTCGTCAAACTTCATAATGATAATTATTGATTCTCAGGCAGGACCTCTCTCAGAATTGAGTTCAGCTGTGGTTAACTTCAAGAAAGATTTGCAGAATCTTAGTTGCAAGTTTGTGTTGTTGCAAGATCATGTTAGCAGTAGCAGCCAGCCACCGCTTCCTCCTTTTGATTATGTTTTTCAAAAGCCATTGCATGGCAAACGTTTATATGAAGTGCTTAGGCTTCTATCTGAATATCGAAATACTTCAATCCAGCATGATAGGACTAAGATGGATCAAGAAATCGAATTCCAAGAATTGGATTCAGATGCCTTACCTAAGTGCCAACTCGAGGAGATTGTGATAAATGATTGTAACAAAAGGAGTAGTACTAGCAAGGACTTCAAAGGAAAGAAGGTTTTGGTGGTTGATGATCAGCCCATATTGCGCATGTATGCTTCCAAGTCTCTTCAAAAATTAGGAGCAGATGTTGATGTTTCTGAGAATGGAAAAGAGGCCTGTGATAAGGTTTGCAAGTCTTTAAATGGCATGTACGAAGGTGATGATAATGCCAACAAAACCTATGATTTTATATTGATGGATTGTGAGGTGACAATTCTACACTTACCTCTTTTCCGCTTTACTAATTTTTATAAATAAATATTGTAAATATTACTATGTTTATGGATTTTTTTCCAACTTAAATAGTTTGAGATGTTTGTGAATGCAGATGCCGGTTATGAGTGGGTATGAGGCAACAAGGCTTATACGAGTGGAGGAGAAGAAGCATGGCAGTCACATTCCCATAATTGCATTGACTGCCCATACTATGGATGATAAGATGAAGTTGCTTATTAAAGATGCTGGAATGGATTTTCACTTGACTAAACCCTTAAATATTCAACAGTTCTATGACCTCGTTACCAAAGTACAGTTTTGAACGACGTTTTTTCCCATTAGAATGAAATATATCTTATGATTTTTAGTATATAGCTACCTTAGCCTTTAGATCATACGGAAAAAAAAAATTGTAACAACAGCATCGCTCTTGCTTGAGGTGATCGATGTTAATATACAGAATTTAGAGGAAAGGAGAAAGAAAGAGGAAGGAAGATGAAGGAAAATTCCGCTGCTGATGGCAAGCAAGCAATCACTACATGTCGACCAATCTATATAAGCTATTGATCACATGATCTTTAAATAAAAAAGCAAGCTCTCTGATTATTTTTGTGACAACTAACTTGTTTTAAGATGATACAGCAAAACTCAAATGATAACCTCAATATTATTAGGGCTAACCGTTCATTGCTTAAGGCTGAAATTCATGGTATCTAGTTTATCGGAGACCAAAGGCTACCACACAAATTAACTCGTAAGTGACATTTTCCTCGCTGGTAGATAACCATCATTATTTCAGGATAGAATACACTGAGGCCAAAAAATCTCAGAAAGCTAAATTGCAATGGCGTCATACAATATTGTTTTACTTGTGAATTTGGAGTTGCTCGGAAAGTTTTCAAGCTAATTTATGTTACACATGATTAATGATTTAAGGTTCTCAGTCAGGCAATAAAAAAACAGCAGCAGAAAGGTCAACAATAGTGCCAAGGAGCCAGTCGAATAGAAAACGAGGGGAAAATTCACGCTGGTGTAATTTCAAAACTATTTAGTAGATTCTAGTCAAAATCAAACATGTTTCCTATTGGCCGAGTCCCAATGACATCAAAGCAATAAGCCACCCTCAAATCTGTGTCTTTTTGCTAAAAATGGAAAGGGGCTACAATTCACTAATAGAAAGGGAAAAAAAGGGGGAGGGGGTGAGGGGTAAGAACTGCCACGTAGCTCATCTTGCTAGCATCTTTGTCAGCTTAAATCAAAATGCTTGGCCCTTACAGTTCATCCTGCAAAACAGGTTCAAGAGAATATATGCGCAGTCAGATTAAGAACAAGAAGAAAAGTGCGGCTGCTAGCTCTGCTTGAACTTAAACAAGATACAATTCTTACATGCGCTTCATCATCCTTGGACTCCGACTTGTCATCAGCATCATCAGAATCATCATCGGCATCATCATCTTCCTCGGCCTGGAAAAACATGTTCACACCGTAAGGGCAAGATAAAGGAAGAACTCAGCTTCCTGATTGAAGGGGAGGGTATTGAATGCTACGACATAAATAAGGAGAATTGGAAAGGAAGCAAATTCAAAGAAAATTTAAAGGCTTACATCAGAATCAGCTGGAGCAGCCTTTGATTCCTGAACAGAGATTTAAACTGGGTCAGAAGAAATCAAGAAACACACAGGAAAAAAGAACACAGCCAAAGTTATCACAGATGCAAAACTAGCATAAACAGAGGATCTGAATTACGGGGGGGG